AGCCATCAGACCACCACAGATGGGGCCCAATAGGGCCGATGCCGATTGGGAGTCGCGGAGAACCTAACGGGTAACCGGGGCTCCGGCTCGACGTGCAGGAGAAGGAACGGGGTGGTTTTTAGTCAGTAAGAGTCTGACACTCCCTCCCGCCTCACCCAGGCGGGAGCAGCCGATCAATAATTTTCACCCCTTAAAAAAAACGCCTCTGGTGTTCCGGGTGGCGGGGTGGCCATGGGCGACGCACATTGCTTACTATGAGATGATCCGTCTGCTCGTTTACCGGCTTATGCCATAGAAAAATACATGTCGTGCGACTTTTGTCCCTTAATGTATCCTTTGCTTTAGGTAGTCAGGTAAGTATAAATTAAAAACTATTTTCACAAAAAAATATAATTTATTTCTTAAAATTAATTTGGCATTAAGTCATTCCTAGTTGTTGTCAAAATTAGTTAGCTTTATGTACATACAATACCATATACACATAACTAATATTAATTACACAATTTGTTTGTAAGTAGAATGTTTTTAAAGACCTATTTGATAATTTAAAATGAATTAACTTAATTAAACTGTTTTTAAATAACATGATCTAATCTACATTCAATCACTTACATACTGTGAAAAGAAATCTTAAACATAATAAAATATTTATAATGGAACAATAAAAAAGGTGACAGTACTAATTTTACAGCATTTTGTAATTTTCACTTATAAATAATATTAAGTTTATCGTCGCACTCGGAGACATTTAACAGGCACTTAAGCCAAGGATACTGGGTGAAGTTGCACGACGTTGCCGGACTTCGATCGACATGTCCGGCAACATCGCGCAACATGCGACTGCCTTGTGAAACAAAACTTCGTGATGTCGCCAAATATGTCCGGCGACGTTTCGCGAAGTTGCACGATATGTCGCCGACACATATTGCACATTAAATTTGTCCCCTAGTGTATCCTTGGGTTTAACTATTCTTTAGTTATGATTTTGGTTTAAAAACAATTGCTAAAGACTGGATTAAGTAAGTATTAAAAGACTACGAGAACAACGAGTACTTTATTTTCTGCTAGTTGTTGCCCGCGACTTCGTCCGCGTAGAAAATGATGGCTGTTTTATTTCATGGGAGCATTAATTAATCGAGATAAATATTATAGTTCTATCACCTAAGTCAGCCCATACCCTCCCTGTATACCAAATTTCATCAAAATTCTTTCAGTAGTTTCAGCGTGATTGAGGGACAAACATTCAAACAAAGAAAGTTTCACATTTATAATATTATTGTGATTAAAATTACGAGAAGTAAACTTCTTCACATAAAAGTGATATCACTGGCTAACTATGTCAACATTCTTTTTAATGGCAGCTGTCGGATATAAATAAGAGATGGCGCTAGTGCGCCCTAAAGATTTCTCCATAATAGGCGTGTCGACAGGGTAAAAAAATCAAAAAAGTAATTAGTCCGTCATTAAGATCGCACGAAAATATCAGACACGTATTTTTTGTTTTATCAAATTAACAGAAGAATACGTAGTTATTCCGCATTAAAGTTAGGGAGTAGGGGGTGTTAACGTCACACTTACGGAGAAATCGTACCTAATTGTGACGTCACGCGTCATTTTAACTCAAAATATCTACATGTTTTTTTGGATACGAGAAAAAAGAAAAAATAGGTATCGAAGATTTTTAAAATATCTAAAAGGCGGACAAAAAATTAAAAATTAGTCGCCATGCCTATTCTCAACATTGTTTATGGCAAAAATCGGTCGGTATAAACTGCGTGGGAGTAGCTAGTGATCTATAAGATGTCTTACATACACTAGTACCCTCTACGATCAAAATAAGACGTATACACTTTTATTTACTAGTCTAAAAAGGCATTTTAAAACTTCAAAAGTTAAAAAATCACCAATCTAAAGGGTTTTGAAGAGCTTCTCTAAAAGGTATGCTATTTTCGCTATAGAATTGGGCGAACCAATTTCTGAAAGCTCTAATAGTCTTGTCCGTTTTGACATAAGCTGGCGCGGACACGAAGCGCTTACTGTTCCATATTACTATGTCTCGTTCAAACTGGAACAAAAGAAAAATAGGATTAAAGATCTCCGTCAATAGTAAATTAGTAAGTTGGTACAATTTGGCAAAAAAGAGTTTGATGCGGTGCTAGAACTAATATTGACTGGGAATCACTAACTTCGGACCATATCCCATGAACAAACAATCATCCGAACACAGTATCTCCTCTTTTTGCACTCGATAGAAATAACAAATACCAAAAGTGATTGAGTCGTAGTGTATGTACCAGGTTGCCACAGGTACGATACTAGCGACATCTATTATTCCAAACTCGTTTTTGCCAAGCGGTAACTGTTGAGGAACGGTTTTTAGGTTTATATTCAAATTCTGCCTCGTTGGCCGAGTGGTCGCAAGTGCGACTGCCGGGCAAGGGGTCTCGGGTTCGATTCCCGGGTCGGGCAAAGTATTACTGGGTTTTTTAAAAATTTCTTTTTAGTAGCATGGAGCCTGGAAATGTGCCCGGTATATGGCAATAGGCTCACCCCCTATTACATGGGACTCATAACATAAATAGTGAAAAGTGGGTGTTACTTCTGCGTGCACCTCTGCCTACCCCTTCGGGGATAAAAAGCGTGATATTATGTATTATTATGTACTCAAATTCGTAAGAAACTATAACTTTTGAATACATTTTTATTCATTGTAACTAGCTGTATCCGCCATTTCGACCGCATGGAATAGTGATTCATAGGTCCCCGTGGGCGATAGCGTGATAATATGTAGCCTATGTGTTGACCTACCCTGTTAGTAAATTCATGCAAAAGTTGAAGTAAATCCATGCAGTACTTTTTGAGTTTAGCCCGGACATACATACAGACAAACAGACAAAAATTCTAAAAACTATAGTTTTAGCTTCCATATTGATTGTAGATCACACCCCAAGCATTCGTTTATAAAAATGTTCAATATACAGATTTCACTTTCCTACGATTTTATTATATATATATATGTACAACTGCCTCGTTGGAGGAATGGTTACAAATTTGACCTCAATAGCTTGGAATCTAGCATAACTGGGGGAAAGTGGGTGTTGCCACGTGTTGCGTTGTACAATGGGTACGAAATTGCCGTTCTGCAGTAGGTATTAGCCATTTCTTTAAATGGTTGTTGTTGTTTGGCTAAGAATTCTAATATCAAATTAATTTTATTTTAAAAACATGGATTTTTTTCCAAATGTAGTAATTTTTTTATTGATTGGTGTCATATTTTTATCACATTTCAATTTCAATCTTTTTGTCATCATGAACACGTAAAAAATTCGAGTAAGTGTGGAATTACTCACCATAGCGCCCTCTGCCTTGACCGACAGTGCAGCGAAGGGAGCGTTGTAAGTAGGCGAAAACATGCGATGTATGACTTTTTGTAGATTTGGTCCCAAAGGAGTGACTGACTGGGAGACTAAGATAGGTCCCACTGGGGTGCTTAGGAATAGACGAACGTGGCCCGGTCCAATCTGTGTAAGAAACAAATATAATTTAGACTACCTCGTTGGCCGAGGGCCGAGTCGTCGGTCGCAAGTGAGACTGCCGAGCGAGGGGTCTTGGGTACTGTGTAGCTGGGTTTTTTAAAGAATTTAGTAGTAGCACGGAATCTGTAATTGTGCCCGGTATATGGCAATAGGCTCACCCCTATTACATGGGACTAGACTAAGGGTAGCCGGTTTCCCAGCCACCACGCCAACGTGCAGTTGAAGTTGAATAAACGAAAGGGATTATTATCTTAATGTTATTTTAGTTGACTTTTAATATCAATTCTGATACCCAGGAGTTGCAATGCATAGAAATGTGCATGTATATAAAAATATGTGGTTTAAAACTACCTGTGTAACTTTAACATCAACATGTCCTAGGTCAAACTTCATGATTTTGTAATCGTGCGTCAGTGTCATGGTGGCTGTGTGATCCTCATTCCTTGTCCAAGTAGCTGACCATACGTGGCATCCTGTAATATAGGAGAAAGCAATATTATTGTATTTTTCTTTTCGTCAAACAGCATTATTTTTCTTTTCTTAAAAATTTGCTATAAATATTAAAACTAAGTTGGTCATAAAATCAATTAATGAAAGTGTGATTATTTTTTAGTGTTTTATTGTATTGAACAGTCGAAATAATTTATTTTTGATTAAGGCAAGTACCCAATACGAGGACCGGCAATAGGAGCGTCGCGATTTATTGCAAGAGAGCAGTTTGTGGGCAGAGATGGTAAGATCACGGCAGCGCGATGATCAGCGCAAGAAGCATAGTCTGGCTGGCCCACAAAACGGAAATAATTTCATACTTGACTACTTTTAGTATCAACTTACCTATTAAATCATTTAGTAGTGGATATTTCTCTCCTAAGCCGGACAGCAGGGACATAGTATGTACAGCGTTTAAATGGGCGACGTCAGCACCGTTTTCAGGAATTTCCTATAAAAAATGAAACAAGTAAATATTAAAACTTAAATCCACTGAGCCACAACGGAAAAGGGACGCCATGGTCAAACGTGTTGATGGAACATCTGAAGGTAAGTGATTTGCCCATGGACACCTACAGCTTATAACACCAGAGAAAACACAAAATGCTTCATTTTTGCACTAGAAGAAGAGTGAGCTCAATGGGGGCTATCGTTTTTTTCGACACTAGATGGCGCAAACATAGCGAGAGGAGTTTTTTTCAATGGACAAATTCAGTTGTCAAATATAGCACGTCCAATGCTCTGACACTGGCTAATTCTTCATTGGACGAAAAATATTAGGTACTTTTAAGTCAAAGATATTGGCATACTATCGACATCCATTGAGTGAAATACAAAATAAAGTCAAAAAAAAGTCTTTACGGCCGAATGATACACAATTTTAAATTGTGCTTAAATTAATATACATAATCACTAATCAGTGCACGCTGTCACAATATATATAGATACACGCAGTCATTAAAAATATTTTATACTCTATGGTCATTTCACTGGCAACTTCATTATTTGTTGTGATAGAATTATTTTTAAGATCGGCTTAAAATTTAGTGGCGTTTGAGTATTTCAACATTAGACTTCAAAAATCCTGAGACGATCTGGGGCCGCCGTAAGCACGGGCCTGCGGTCGGCGAGTATGGGTGGCTTGCCGCCCGACCATAACCAGACCCGAGCATACGGCGCGCCGAGTTCCGCATGCACTTCAAGGAGCCATCAGACCATCACAGATGTGGCCCAGCCACGGATGCCTTAACGGGTTGCCGGGGCTCCGGCTCGAAGTGCAAGAATAAGAACGGGGTGGTTTTTAGTTAATAAGAGTCCGACACTCCCTCCCGCCTCACCCGGGCGGAATCGGATGATATTCCCCCACCAAAAAAAAAGTTTAAAAATAACCTACTTGAATATGAGCGCTGACAACGTATTCGTTCCTTCCTCGGTATCCCCAACTCTTGAGTTCAGGTAGCTCAGGGACTACCCATAATGGATCCCTTCCTTCAGCATCATACCAGATCCACACTGCGCCGTCTCTTTCAACGGTCGTCCAATGTTTTATGGAAACTCCTTTTGGTGCTGTGAAAAAAAGTGTGATTCGATAAAGAAAACTTTTTTATGGGATAAACCAGTACACTAGCAGACGGATCACCTGGTGATAATCAATCGGTGCCTCCCATGGACACTCGGAACATTAGAGGCGTTACAAGTGCGTTTACCGGCCTTCTGGGGATTAGGATTTAGGATTGTTGTGGATTCGGGGATTGGGGAGATTGGTTAAACCAGAACCAGACTCGAGTGTACGGCGCGTTGTGTTCCACGCGCGCGTCAAAGAGCCATCAGACCACCACAGATGGGGCACAATAGGGCTGAAGCCAATACGTAGCTGCGGAGAGCTTAACAGGTTGACGGGACTCCGGTTTGAAGTGCAGGTGTAGGTGGATTTTAGTCAGTAAGAGTCTAACACTCCCTCCCGCCTCACCCAGGCGAGAGAAGTCATACGATGATTTTCCCCCCTTAAAAAAGGGCAACAAACGCTTCTGATAACCGTATCGAAATCGCCCAGTCAATCGCGGGATAATCGCGCACAAACATATATTCAGGTGGAACTCAGAACCTCCTTCTTTTTTGAAGTCAGTTTAAAAATTGCATTATTACATTCATCAACATCATTAAAATAAATCATTCATCATTAAAATAAATAACAGTTTTATTAATAGTATGTTGCCGGTAAATTGTAATTTCTATGCCTCAAGGCGTAATATGGTTGGAACTGTAGGTACTTTTCTGCTAACAACTTAAAGTATTTTTTTTACACTTGATAGATCGACGTTTGGCCACCATCTCGCCTGATGGAAAGCGACGATGTGGCCGATGATGGAACACGCCTACCTATTTACTCATATTAGAGAAGAAAGAATTTGATTTAAATAAAACCTTCAAAAAATAATATAGTCATTTACAAACCATGTTCAACTCCTGGAACACTGACGCAAGCGCCATTTTCCCCGAACCTCCACTTATGGAAGGGGCATTCGATACAGGAGCCGCTAACGGTGCCTGCGATACCCAGGTTAGCTCCTAAATGTGGACAGTACGCGTCCACAACGCGCGCCACGCCGTCTTCGCCACGGTAGATGCAGAGGTTTTGGCCTGGGAAAGATAATAGGCTAATTAGAACCGATTTTTCCAATGCCAGATAAAATCAAAGGAATTCTTTTGAATATTTGACCAATTCTTCTATGCTAAAAACTGTCAAGTGTCAATTTTATTCTTTATTTAAGAATCTATGTTGATTAAAAAATCAGTCCTATAATAAATTATGTAATGTACCTATTACAGTTCGTTTAGCACAGTGCTCAACGCAAATCACAGGAAAAAATAATTAGTTTTCTTAAGCAAGTGCTTCTGGATCTCAAAAATAGATGTCACTGTTTATCGATCTATCTTATTTTTAACGACCCGTGAGAGTCAATGCTGTATGAGTTAATGGTTCATTTACAATTCTAATCCGTTTCATATTAATATGTAGCAAACCATTCAAGTAGTTTTTATTGTTTTCTTAGTGGGTACTTTCCATGAATTAATAGTAGCTTCGACTACTCGACAACAGATGGCGCAAATCCTAACTACAAAAACTTTCACTACTGGACAACAGATGCCGCTACTCACCAAGTGCATCGATCGAAAGAACTCCTCCATTCTTCAGTTCTCGACTTTCGGCGACTGCAAACCATCCATTCGGAAATGGTGGTGGAGTCTTACTGCCTATTTTCTTAGCAGTTTGAGCTCTAGATATGATTCTGTCTCTATCAGGCCCGGGGGGAATGTGTTCGAATCCTATTTCTGTGAATTCCTGGAAAAAACGAATAGTATTTTTGTTATTTATATGAAATAATGTTTCAAGTATTTGTGCATAGGATCTCGGGTCCGATTACCCGATTTGAGTTTTGTATTTTCGATTTATTTAACACGTCGAGTACCGGTTTTATAGACACAATTATAGAACAATAGGTTGCGGTCACCGGTGACCGCTTGGTATTTGACAGTTTAAGTGTGGCAGGAGCCTTGCTTCGGCACGAATGGGCCGGCTCGACCGGAGTTATACCACGGCCGAGCAAAAATATTACGTGAAACAACGATTGCGTTGTGTTTCGTCGTGTGAGTGTATAGTTATTGGAAGTCCAATTACAATCCTCAAATACGTAATCCCCAAAATGCCGGTAGCGCGTGGTAGTGGTAGTGTTCCGGTGCCCATGGACGAGAGCGATTGCTTACCATCAGGATAAAAAAATGTGTTAAGTATTTTGCTTACCTTATTAATCAAGTAGTTGTGCATGGAATCTTGGGGCCGATTACCCGATTTGAGATTTGTGTTTTTTGATTTTATAGAACTTAATATGGTTTTTAGTACCTAATACCTAGTAGGTACCGACCTAAGGACTGTAGTTTTGCTAAGGGTACGACATTAGGCTCTCCCCTAAGACATGGGACTCACAACTGATGAAATGGGGGTGTAATATTGTAGTTAGGTACCTATTATCTGCATCTCTAGGTACTCCCATCATCGGGAAAATTTAATTGTTCGTCAGTTAGATAATGACAAAATAATAGACACATACTTGTTATTTTTTTTAAAGTTAGAATACTGATATAGAATGAAGTTACGTTTAGGTCGTTATATCACAAAATGCTACGAAATATAGCACGGTGTGACGTCACAGTTCACACGATATTTCGAATTAATATATCGTCGAACGTATTTAATTTTGTGCGAAAAGAAAAAATACATGTGATGTTTTAAATCTAATGTTTTAAATTCATCTACCAGACACATTATAATGAGTAGAAAATAATAGAAAAAATGCAGAAACTTACCTTTTTAAAAATTATAGGATTGACATAACTTCTATATAGAATTAGCAGCAAGAAATATAAAGCAACAGCCAATAGAATGTAAGAACTATATTCGTATATTAATTCCAAAACTGTCAATGTGAACGCAAATGTCAAATTCAAGTACGAAACAATCATTTCTTTGACATGTTGCTTTGTAAAACCGTTCTGACAATCACTATGTAGGTATTTGTCCAAAACGTCATCTGTCATTTGTGAACAGGACTCCATCTTGAAATTTTGTGGTATTCTAAAATGGCGGCGTGATGTTTGGTTGCATCTGTAAAGAAGACAAGCTTTCGTTAAAAGTGAATTATTGTATTTAATACTGTTGTTATTATAAATAACTACAAACTAAAATATTTACGCCTTAAACTGTCAAATACCAAGCGGTCACCGGTGACCGCAACCTATTGTTCTATAATTGTGTCTACAAAACCGGTACTCGACGAGTTAAAATTACCATAAAAAAATTTCAGCTTAAGGCATAAAATTTTTTTTTCCTTAACTTTACCCTTAGCTAGGTTTCCCAAAAAAACTGACAGCATTGCCACGTTGAATGGCAATGTTTAACCTTTGCCCAAAGTAGCAGCCAGCCTTTCGATCACCTGAAGGGTCAACCATCCTCCTTACAATATCTTTGTAAAGAAGATGTGCACTTGGGCATCACGGCCTTAAACCCCAAACGGTTCAAAAGCATAATTGCCAATCCAGCAATTATACTGTCGCCGTTTGAGTTTCTCGGCAGCAACGGCTCGACACGCTGAGCTCGGAAGATGAGATTGCGCAAGATTATCAACGCAAGTGGCGTCTCATATTAAAGGCCTGATCTTCCAAGGGAATAATGATATACCATCAAGTTTAGTATTATTAACATTAGTTTAAATTTAGTGCACAGGTATAGTTATTGTTTTAATTATGTGACATATAGTTTATAATAAAACCGAAGCATCAAACTAAAAAAAAATGTTATTATAATAACTATCGTGAGACATACTAAATTAAGTAAAAATCGCGGGTTACTCACGTGAATATACTGAGTACTAGTTTTTCAAACCACAGAGGGGTTCTTCCTCATGAGCAGCGTGCGCGATCGCGGCTTTTTTTTTAAGGGGGAAAAATCATCGAATGACTGCTTCCACCTGGGTGAGGCGGGAAGGAGTGTCAGACTCTTATTGACTAAAAACCACCCCGTTCCTTCTCCTGCACGTCGAGCCGGAGCCCCGGTTACCCGTTAGGTTCTCCGCGACGCCGAGGCTTATGGGGCGATCGCGGCTATCGTTGCTCGCAGCCTACTGACTAGCGTTGGCGCATCGGTGTTGCTACTCAGTAAATTAGTAAATATTCACGTGAGTAAATAAGATTTTGTTAAGAAAAAAATGTTGTTTTTTTCCTATTTCAGAAAGGAGAGCAGTGCTCTGGTTACTACGGCCTCACAGAACTCCGACGTAAAACGAGGCTCGCGTTGTTTTTCTCCTGAAAGGCCAACAACTTTACAATTACATTATTTATTTATTAAACTTTATTGCACATACAGTGAAATTGGCGGACTTAATGCCGTAGGCATTATCTGACAGTCGACCATTGGGTGGTGCAGAATGTTAAAGCGGTAGGTGCAAAATTGTAAAAAGAAAGTTTGAAGTAGTAGATAACGAAGTTAAGGTAATAAAATATTAAAGAGGGAAGATATGATTATTAGTCGATAATACATAACTAAGGGTATAGGGACTTAAAATGAATTATATAATAAATATATATCCCAAATATGCATACATATAATATGATATAATTAGTACAAAGAATTTAATTTTATCCTTATTATAATTATGATAGCAAATAGTTTTAATAGCAATTTTCTATACGTATAAATTTATTTAGACATGCCACAGTTTTTCAACGGTAGCATTAGATATATAATAGTATCTACATCTTTATGGTTCATGCTTAAATAGATTAAAATTATTAGGTAACAATAACAGTCTATGACGTGTGGGAGAGCCATTTTTTTTTCTAAGGGGTAAAATCATCGAATGACTGCTCCCGCCTGGGTGAGGCGGGAGGGAGTGTCAGACTCTTACTGACTAAAAACCACCCCGTTCCTTCTCCTGTACGTCGAGCCGGAGCCCCGGTTACCCGTTAGGTTCTCCGCGAGTCCGAATCGGCATCGGCCGTATTGGGCCCCATCTGTGGTGGTCTGATGGCACGAATGCTCGACCGGAGTGATACCACGGCCGAGCAGAAAACTGACGTGAAACAACGCTTGCGGTGTGTTCCATCGTATGAGTGAGGTTATCGAAGGCCCGATTAACCTCCTCCCCAATCTCATTCATCGTCGAATCCCCAGGGCCTCCGGTAACCTCACTCATACGACGAATCACGACGCAAGTGTTGTTTCACTCCGGTCGAGATGGCCAATACGTACAAAAGCATGGTTCTCCCACACTTAACTATGTTGTATTTCTATACCAATACTATTAAAAAGTCCATTATCAAAAATTTTTATCTCTTGCCATACCGTCCCGGTCTGCTAGGCCTATACGTATATCATATGACCATTATGTGATGCTAAAACTGGATTAATCCAGATTAAACTTAGTACAGTCAGCATCAAAAGTTAATGATCACATTTAGACTTTCAAAATTGCTGTACCTACAGTGTATTACTTAAACCGGTCAACATGATAAGCGGTAGAAATAAGTAATTATCTTGTGTAGCATTTATGATCAAAGTCAAAAGTCAAAGTCAAAATCATTTATTTCAATTAGACCAGGATGGCACTTTTGAACGTCAAACAACAAAAATTTTGAAGTGAAGCTAGTTGCTCATTCCAAGGTGTAGATTCCTATGGAGAAGAACGAGCAAGAAACTCCATAGGTTACTCTTTTCCAATCGGGTGTACAATACAATTCTCTAGTTACATAGTTTTGTTGGTTCGATTGTGCGAGAACAATGCAACACCTAAATCCAGTCAAAGAGACTAAAAAAGAAAATAATTGTGATGTTTGTCATGTTCACCGATTTAGGTGTGATACGGTGTCCGTCGAGGTACTGGTAGCCCGGAGGTTTAAGACGCCCGCTTCATGTATGACGGTACGGGTCGAAACCTACCAAGGGTAAGTACCAATGTGACTTTTTCCGAGTTATATGTATTAAACAGGGTATACAATTCGGTATTAAACAGGTTGGTGCTGACAATCAGCGCTATGGACTCGAGACTTCGTGCCCGGGCCACAGAATTAAGTTGAGCTCAGGCCTTTTGCCCCGCGACGCACCATAATATTCTTTTTATGATATATTGACTTTTTCTTTCTTTCATTAATTATGTACTTTCTAACATTATTTGGACACCACTGACAAACGGTGAAGGAAAACATTTCGAGGAAACCTGGACTCATAATTTTTAATTATAAGTTTGATATCGCCAACCCACATTGAGCAAGCGTGGTGATTGATGCTCAAACCTTCTCCGTGTGAGGCTGGTGATGTTGATGATGATGATTATGACGGTGTACAGGGATTTTGAAAATTTAAATGTGTTAATAATAACCTTTGACGCTGATCCTACATACAGATTATCAAAACTCAATGTACCTACGTCTCCTTGAGATTCGGTATCATGATTTGAAATGTGTGGAGTCGTAAAGGAAGTCTAGTTCTCAGATAAGATATTCGTTTTATCTTTATAGTGTAGGTCGTGTTTATTTTCAAAGTTAAAACTATCATTATCATAGTTTTGTTTTGAAGTAGGTACTATCAGTAAAGTTTACGATAGTACACTTGTTAAATCCTGTGTCAAACTCGCTATCCGTGCGTGGTATTCCCTATGGTCGCTTGCGATGTGTGCGAATATCGCTAACTATGTCGATTGTACCTTTTTTTTTTAAAGGGGATATCGTCATGGACTGTCTCCGCCTGGGGAAAGGCGGAGGGGTTTGCCGGACTCTTACCGGGTAAAACCACCCCAGTGTCTTCTCGCACGTGCGCGCGGGGCCGCGGGAGTCAAACTCATCCGCAGCCCCGCATTACAGTGCCCGCCCGTTCGTCCGGGCCTCGTCTCCTGCACCGTAGCAATGTGTAGCCACGTGCAATGTCGATTGTACCTAATACAATATTAGCGCAAAGAATATTAATTGGTAATTCTTCCTCACTGTTACTATCAAGGACGTTCAATCAATGGATTGAAAGATGATGTAGTGACAAGGATTGAAAAGGGAATGTTACGCTGGTTTGGACATGTAGAAAGGATGGATGAAAGAAGAGTAACGAAAGAAGTATACAGAGCGGATATGAATGGGCCCGTCGGTAGAGGGCGCCCTAGACGGACATATAGTGACCAGATTGGCGATATAATAAAGAAGGGCCAAATTACCTTAGTACCCTTAACCGACGAGCATGCATGAAAAGATTGATGACTGTTGATGAAGCGAAAGAGGTATGTAGGAATCGTAGTAATTGGCGTTCCCTAGTCTCTGCCTACCCCCATGGGAGATAGGCGTGAAGTTATGTATGTATGTGTTTTTAACGTCTTGACTTTTTTTGAAATATTAATCATAGAGCTCTAGTCTCTGTAAAATATGGATCTGATCTAAATCAAAAATTTAGGTTTTTTTTTATTTTTTTTTAAGGGGGGAAAATCATCGAATGACTGCTCCCGCCTGGGTGAGGCGGGAGGGAGTGTCAGACCAGACTCTTACTGACTAAAAACCACCCCGTTTCTTCTCCTGCACGTCGAGCCGGAGCCCCGGTTACCCGTTAGGTTTTCCGCGACAAAATTTAGGTATAGATTTTGACCGAATATAAAGAACTAATATCATGTCGATTTAACTTTTACGACAGTCGCGGGAATAACAGCGGTGTACAAATATGATACAGTACCTGATGATACAGTACAATTGAATTTTAGAGAAGACAACGAGTACCTATGCTGTATATTTCTATGACTGCCTCGTTGGCCGAATGGTCGCAAGTGCAAGGGGTCTCGGGTTCAATTCCCGGGTCGGGCAAAGTATACCTGGGTTTTTAAAAAAAATCTCAGTAGTAGTACGGAGTCTGGAATTGTGCCCGGTATTTGGCAATAGGCCCCCCTTAACATAGGACTCATAACATAATTAGTGAAAAGTGGGTGTTACTTCTGTGTGCACCTCTGCCTACCCCTTCGGGGATAAAAGGCGTGATGTTATGTAATGTCTTATGACGTTCGTCATATAAAGGAAGTATGAAGAAGCATTTCTAACACGTAAACACATTTTGTATATCGGACACATGGAGCTATCAAATTA